CGCCTGCAGCTCTGCCACGTCCTTCACAAGGTGCCCCTGCCCCTTGACAAGGTGCTGCTGCCCGGGGAGGCTGGGCCRAGCACGGAGGATCGCAGGAGCAGGAGCAGCAGAGCGGGAAGGGACCGCGGGCCATGGGCCCGGCAGGACKGCTGGCGAGCCCCCCGCTCCCTTATCCAGCACCTTCTCCAGGGAGAAGCCTGGGAAGGGAGGGGTGCGGAAGCAGATCCTGTTTGTTGTGATTATGGAGAAGCCGGGGGACTGCTAAGCTTTGCAGGCGAGGGRAGGGGGGTAGCATACATTTATTAAAGCACAYGTTTTACTGTTTTCCTTGCTTTTCMCTTTTYCCCTTACATGAACMACACTTTATTGCCAGAGAAAATGCAGAAAACAAAACAATTTAATAAAAATAAGACATCTAAGACATCTCTTTCATATTAATTTTGGATGCATTAGTAATAAAACAAGCAGAACAAAGTATTATAGATACAGACTAGATACAGACTAGACAAAATGAAGAGCATACACTGCTCTCTCAATACCTTTATCATTCTGTTACAACAATGCTGAGTCACGCTTTAACAAGGCTTAAGTTATTGCCATAGACGACCTGAACCAGAAATCCCGGGAAAAAAGGAAGGGCCTTTTATAGTACTTGAAATATTTTTCATTTACAGACTAGCAATAAAAGAGAACYAGGGCTGCTGCTTCATCTCTCCATCCAACGTGCTGGCAGTGCTCCTCTGAGCAGGGTTTATTTGAGTTACTCACGTTCTTGCCTATTGATGCTCAAATTATTGGGGATTATTTTGATTTTTGATTTACTCTGGAGGTAAATCGGGATTACCGGACCTGGACGTGGCTGGGCCTCCTCAGCTTGTGAGTCTGGGAAGCGGAGGCTCCAGAGGCGCCACGAGAGCCTCTGGAGCTGATCCCTGCACCGCAGGGCAGGCTCGGGGGAAGCGACGTGYTCCAGAGGCGTGAGGGCTCCTGCAAAAAAGGACACAATCCAAGCTGAATATGACGAAACAGAGGGGAATGCCGCATGCAAGAAAAGTAGCAAAATAAAGGCTTGTCTTCTCTTACATTATTATTTATCTTGCACTTTCATTTCTCTTTCCAGGCCCAAAGAATCTCCCATCAGAAGTCCAGATCTGAACCGTTGAAAACCGGAGGTAAAAAAAGGGCTGTATTCTTGGAGAACATTTGAACCCTAAAGCCAGGCTGACCCACGACACCAATAACTACCTTTGCCACGACACCAATAACTACCTTTGCATGCCTGGGTTTTGGAGCAGACATTGGCAGCAGGGAGTCAGATAGTGTCACCTCTGTGACGAACCCGTACGAACGGGTCCCATAGCGGTGTCCCCCGAACGCCTGTGTTTGCGCCGTGGGGGACACGGGGGATGACTGGATTCCGGTTTCCACAGGAAAAGATCCTCTGTAGCACAGAAGAGGTGGCTCGTGATGCAGCACTGAAGTAACGTGGTTACTTCAAGAAAATAAACACAGCCTGAAAGCTGTTTTTGCTGTTGTTGCTATATCCTAGAGATGCGTAAAACCTCCTGTTTTGAATGGGTTAACAGAAAATTCAGATACTTTTTTTTTCTCACTTTTTGTGCAGTCATTTTTAGGTCTCCCTTCAGTGAAAAACAGAGAAGTGAAGACAACGATACAAATAAGGGGGAAAACATATTCGTATTTTCTGTTAACCTGTTCAGTGAAGCTGTTTGGGGCATTTATGCATGCTTTAAGAAACAGAGAGGGAAACAAACGCTTTCTGAAAGCAGTTGGATGGAAGTCACCATGGGCTGACTTTAAGCACTCGAAGTTGTGCCTCTGGCTCGGCGTTCACATCCCATGGATCCGCAGCCTGCGGAGGGCTGGGCAGGCAGACGGGAACTGTCCTTGGTGCTTGGGCAAAGAAAGGCCTGAAGGCATCAAAGTCATCTCTGAGATGACTTCCCTTGCTTTGAGAACGCTTCCCGCATAGCGGAGTCCTCAGGCAACCCTTCAAACACAGCGTTTATGCTGTTTAATCTCCAACAACCTCTACGTGTCGCTATTTCTGGAGTACTGACAGGGTGAAATGCGTATGGAGAGTTAAATGCTCTTCCGAGAGAAGCTGGTATTTCACCCCGTTGCCCAACTGTTGTGTTTCACAGCTCGCTGAGTGCTAAGGGTTTGTACTAGTACTGCTGCTGCCCTGGCCTGGTGAGACAAATCCCCAAAACCTGATGGCAAAATGAGGAGCTGCCACAAAGGTGACACCAAAAYGAGGTGCCGTTCTCTGCCCTTCTCCTCTCTGGTTCCCATCGCTGTGGGCGTGTTGGGAAAATCCTGTTTTGGGGTCACAGCACCAAACTTTGAGTCTATCTGGAAAGAGAAAACGGGAAAGCCAACCGCATGGAAACTGCCCTCCGGAACAGTCAGGGCAGGAGCATTTAAAACTCAAGACTGCACTCGCAACGCTAAGGACTTTCACCAAGGCTCACTCAGTAAGCACCTACAAGCCCTGCAGCCTCAAGGACCTACCTCCAAAGAGAAAGTGCTTTCCTACTGCCTCTCTGTGTGGAAATGGGGAAAAATGAAAATAAAAGGTAAAAATAAGGTCTAATTGAATTATTACTTCCAGCACTATCTAGAATTTTGTGGTTTTTTTTTTTTTAGAACACTCATCTAATTATTATCTCAACCCAGCGCATGGTAAAAAAAAAAGATACATTTTCAAATTTAAAATTCTTATTTTTAAGGAAAAAGTATAAAGAAGATAATAAACTATTTCTATTTTCTTCAAAGAATAAAATAGAAGCAAACAATTATCCATTAACCCAAAAATGAACTAGATTTGTTACACGGCGTAGCTAGAATCCATGGTGCAAATGCAGTCTGTAATTTAGAGCGTGTGCAGTTTTAGAAGACAAATGCAATTACTCGAGAATCCCCAAAGTCTACCAGGGGGATACAACAGGAAGATACAACAATAATAAAAAATAATTCCTTTCAGAAAGGAACATTCCCTCAACCCTAAACATACCGCAATTGCATTGACATAAGCTAACAAAGGATAGATATTTTTTATTAGCAAATGTAACTAACAGATGTAATCTTTCAGTGCAATCACCTTCTGAAGCTGTACTGCAGTTGTCCACAAAACAAATAGGGCGGTATCATGATCACGGACCACGGTGAAAGAACAACAAAATAGCGTYTGCAACAAAAATGTGCTGCTTGAGAAGTTGTCTCATGGATCATTTTTCAATCTACCATCTCTTCCCAACTTCTTCCAGTCCTTTCTTCTGCAACTAGCAACATTTTATAGTGTATGATTCAAAATGAGTAACAYGTGAGTAACCTGCAGGGCTTCAGCTCTACAGACCAGTAAGTGAAACTGTGTTAATACAGCACATATGACAGGAATCAGATGGGAGACTTSTCATTATGAGAATTACATGAAGACAGACGTAATAATACCAATAAAGTTCTAAAAAACCCATCCGGTCGCAAACCTAAAGTAAGTAAGTTGAAGAAACAAATACTGTTTAAATACATGCATGAAAAATTCTATTTYTGCATGTTATTTTAGAACCCCTCTTCTACCTAAAAACCAACCTGCATTACTGAATTAAGCTTGCTAATATGATGACTCTGTATTGCCAGTGTTACGTGTAGGAAAGTCAGACACAGCACAAAGAGCTTTGTCTCAAAATCTTTGTATTTATTTCATGGCACATTCCACATTCTGATAATAGTTTTCACTTGCATTAAATTCAGTGTCTTTAGAAATTCCAGGCTCAAGATTGACTCTAATCYGTAGTATTAATGGTCTTCCCTTTAGGCTATGTTTTCATAGTGTCTCAAATTGTAAAAGAAAGAGAATTACTAGTAACCTCATCAGGTTAGGTAATTCAAATTATTTTCTGGTTCTTTACATGAATAAAAATAAACTACAGATCACTAGCATTTTTGGGTTCCCTCAGGATCCTTCAGAATCTCGAAGAGCTCCAAAAAYAAAAGAAAAAAAAAACCCGACTTCCTACAGKGAATTAACAATAATAATMATAATAAACAAAGTAAAAAATGGATCTCTATTTGGACTAATARTCTGCAAAAGTTAGCTTGTGTATTACATCTGCATTTTAATAAAAAAAAAATAGTTCTACATGAGATCTGCATACTATAATAAGGTGATAGCAATTTGTCTGTCTGTCATTTCAGAAAATTTGTCTGTCATCCAGATAGCATTAAACTGTCAAAGTGGGAGTTTGGTTTGTTTTTGGTTTGCTTTTTCTAAGCCAGCCTAGTAAAGAGGTGATAAGTGTACCCTGAAGTACTCTGAAGAGCTGCCACACAGTGATGGGAGATCACAGAAACTCTCACCCGACTCCGAACACCCCAGATCTCACCATAGGAAGCAACGGCCGTGAATTAACCCCCTATAAACAGCTAGTCTGTCTTTTAACTTGTCTATCTGGAAGGAGAAACATGAGGCAGGTGCACATGCCAGAAGATTCAAGCAGACACTGTTACACAACTGTCCTGGCACACATTTTAGAGAGGCACTGAAAAATCTGCAGTTTTACAGACATAATGGACTGGATTCATCTTTTAAACCTGTATTCATTCATCTTTTAAACCTGTAAAAAACAAAAACAAAAGCCTTCAATTCTCTTCTGCTTCGTTTTCTGTTTGAATAGCTAAAGCCTGACCATAGTTTGTCTGAGAACTGTAAAATTATTGCAATTCCTACATCTTGCAACAGCATTACCTGTTGCAATAGGAAGCGGATTACCATTTTTGCCTAAGGTGTGTTTAAGTGACACACTTTGAAGGGCAACTTCTGTGAAATACCAGCATGTTATAATATTATAATCTACAAAACATTCTCCGAAATAATGTAGGTGCAGTGAGAAAAGCACGCATTCACTTCACTGGAATAAAGACTTCAGCTCCAAATCTTTCCAAAGCCACCATTTATTCATTCAAAGTATTTTTTACATTGGTCAAAAGAGTTCAGCCCAGATATTTTCCAGGGGAGAAAAACATTGGGAGTTGCAATTCAGTATTATGTAAAATAGCATTTCATTCTCCTGTCTTCTAAACTGCATTAATTTCTCTCAAAACAGTATCAATCAATCAACAAAAGAGAACAGATACCAAAATCAATGTTCTCTCACGGACTACATACATTCACCTGTAACACACGTGTTGCACAGGTGCCTTCTGCCTTCTTTCTTTATCCACTGCATATTTTCTTTCACTGAATTCCTGATTAACAGAAGGGCTACTACTGCTTAAGTTCAGCCTTTGCTTGCACTGCAAGCAGCCAGGTATAGAGAGCTGCTCCCTGCAAGCTCATTTTCCACAAACCTCGACACGCTCTCCCTATCCATTACATGCAGTTGGCTGAAACGTCCCTAAGGCAGCTACTCCAGAAAGTCTTGGAATATAGTCTGTTCAAGCTTGGAGAATAACACAAGTGGTCAAGCATGCTGGTGACACTGTTATTGTTCTTCAATGAAAAGGGCTGGAAGCTAGGGTTGGGAATTTTAGCTTGTTATTGCAAATAACTGTGTTTTTTTTTCACCCTGTGTAGAACAAATGCTGTGTTACTATCACCAGTGAGATTAGTTTTGACATGAATTTGAATTACTAAGTTTGTTAATCATGTAAATATATGTAAATTTTTATTTGGACATCAGTSACTCATTTTGCACTTTTGCTTAAGAAAAAAAAACTACAAGCCCTCATTCTCAAGAAATATCAAAAAATATTCCATTATAAAAAAGACCATTTGGTGTCATGGAATAACAAAGAAGAAAATTTTTCTCTGTGCTTCATATATGTGAAYCACTTCAACCTCACTAGAAAACATAAGAAGATAAGAAATTTAAACCCAACCACTCTATTTCTTTTGCATCAAGCTGCTGCATATTTCCCAGCTGGTGGCAGCTGCTTTGACTATAAACACAGTCTCTTAAGATACTTTTAAGTTCTCTTTAGGAACTTTTTCCTTCAGTTGAAGGACAGACACCACTTTTTTTTTTTTTTTTTTTAATTTTTCCTCTCCTGTAAAGCATAATAGTGTAAATATACAATGTTTAAAGCATAATAAATAATAAATGTTAGATAATAAATTTATTATCTCAAAATAACAAAATTCGACTTCCTTTCTGAAGTTAATTTGATGACTTATCGGCACACTACACTTGGCAGCAGAATCCAGCTGGAATTTACAAGTATCTGTTTCGAATGTACTCTCTGTACATAAGGAAGTCGTCTTTTCCCAGGGGCTGCATGTTTCCTCTTCCAGCCTGCAGGTGAGCATGGAATATCTCAATTGATTTCCTATCGACCCTCGGCGGCTGAACTTCATAAATGTTGTCTTGGGAAAAAGATGAGATGGGTACCCTGRAAAACAAACAAAAAAAACCACAGAATATTTGGAACATCAGGTAAGAATTTTCCAAAAAGAAGTAATTATTTTCTCCTTTGAAGATATATGAGAGCCCCTGAAAAGGTAATTTGCCCCTTGATAATTCATTTACCTAGATTGTTATCACGACTGCTGACCTGGTAAGACTCAGCCTTCCAAGTAGGGTAGTTAGGTAAGATGCCACTAATCACATTACAGGCTACTCTCTGCACTTTCCTCACTCTGTCCTCATTTCTTCATTCTCAGACCTGCTACAGTCAGTAAACACCTAGAGCTGAAACTAATCTGTTCTACATTATAGCAGATAACCAGAAACCTTAACTGAATTATCCATGTAGTCAGTAGCAATTACAATGAGCATGTGATYACACTCTGAACCCATCTACAGAAAGGATTTATCAGATAACAAATTTCCATCTAATTACTAGGAAGCAGACATCTAGTATTACCAGCACTAGCATTTTGTCCACTGGAAGAGTTTTTATTTTGTAAAGATATTTGTTAAATAGCTTAGCACGGTAAGCTTTTATCTTCAACTCCTAAGTTGAAGTTCAACTCCTAACTCCTATGTAAACCTATTCCTGCCTTAATGAGAGATAAATGCAGCTTTAAATTTTACATAGAGCTTGAGTACATCAGACCTTCTTTAAGCACTACTGTGAATGAAACGCACTCCTAAGACAGAATTTGTCCCTGTAACTGATGAAAACTGCACACTGGGCAAGATCATGGCCAGTTGGGAAGGGAAGGGATCATTCTCCCTTGTTCAGGGCTTGAGAAACCACAGCTGGAGACCTGTGCCCACACCTGAGCTCCCTGGATGACGACAGACAACGACACACGTGAGAGAGGCCAGCAAAGGCCCCCGGGATGGTCGGGAAGCTGGAGCAGGAGAGATGTGGAGAGGCTGAGCTCAGTTAGTCCAGCCTGGAGAGCAGAAGCTCAGAGCGGCCCCTCTGCTGCCTAACCTTCTGGGAGGTGCACAGGGCGAGACAAGCTGCAAAAGGGTCTGAAAAACAAACCCTGGGACATTCTGAATGGATAAAAGGACACTTGTCTTTCAGTGGGAGATCTGACACGGCCCTGCTTCGAGCAGAGGGGCTGAGCAAGTGACCTCCGGGGATCCTGTCCAGTTTACATCACTCTGCTTCTACACCAAACTCTCCACAATGAGGCGTTCTCAACAGCTGRCTGCAAAATAGCAACAGTTATTTATACCCAATATGTAATAAATAAATAAACACTAAAACTATCTGTGAGGTACATCATTTTCATGTTTAAGTACCTTGCTATTAGGAAAGCAGAATCCATAAATATATTAATTTACTAATTAATTTACAAAATGCGTTGAACTGAACAGTGTGGGTGTTTTAACTATGCAACAGCAGATTGGTTTGGATTCTGCAAGAGGACACTCGGTGTTTAATGTACTGCCATCTAAAGATTACAAACAAACACTACTTTTCCCTTCCGTAAATGCTATTTGACTGACAGAAAATCAGAAAGTCTAAAATTAACCCCAGGGAAAAACTACCTGATGGAGCTTTGAGTTGTCCAGAATGGTAGGTGGAATCCTCCTATAAATACTAAACAGGAGAAAAACATTTCTTCATTATGAAAAATTGACATATGTTTTAAGAAACTAAATCATCAGTTTCATATATTTTGAGTTCATCTTTCAGCTGAAAAAAGCTGTTTTACTTTTTATATATCTATTAAAATACTATGGTTTGTAAATAGCTCTATACAAATAAATCTGCCCAAGCATTCAATAGGAAATAAAGATTTCAAGATTGGAGACTCCCTTTCCTAATACGACACAGGCTAAACACTCTTCTACACAAGAACTTCCTTCTGTGCTGAATCAAGATGTCCCATATCCTTTCTCAGGCAGTGACTAGAAGCCTCGAGATTATCAGAACGGAGCACGCACTGACCAACTTCTTTGTTGGGTCTACCCTCCCATGTCAGCAAAGAGGATTCAGGGAATACCTACCTCTAATAACTCCCTGAGCCTGCAAGAAAGGAAGAACTTCTACAGTTTAATTGTGTTTCAAGTGACAGTCCTTTAAATTGTTGTTATGGGCCTTGGCTGCTCACAGTTCTTAGAAAGGGAGAAATTATCCATGCTCTGCCTTCTCCCCAGCTCTATTGTACACCCAAACATATTTAGTCTCTTCTCACGCACTTGCTATTTTCTGAGCACTCTGTCTCCCATTCGTGTAGGCTTCCAACCTTTACAATGCAACCTTTACAATGATACAATGACCAAAACTACACTTAATTCCCAACATTTCTTTTTCTACTACCTTTTCCATTTGTCACCTATTATTTCAGGTACCGAATACAATTTTTCCAAGCATTTTACACTACTTAATTCCATACTGAGACAGTGGCCAGAGGTTAGAAAAAACAGTGGCCAGAGGTTAGAATAGTATTGGGGTGTGTGTGTGTGTGTGTGTGTGTATATATATATATATGTATATGTATATATATATATACGTATATATATATGTATATATATATGTATATGTATATATATATACGTATATATATATGTATATACATATATATATACGTATATATATATACACACACACACACACACACACCCCAATACTATTCTGACATTTTTATATTATATATATTTGGGTCCCAATATATATAATATGTGTGTGTGTGTGTGTGTGTGTATATATATACACATGTATATATATGCTCCCTTTCTAACTAGAGGGCTGCTGCTGCCACTGCTGTGGCCGTAGCGATCCAGCTGCTGCCTTCAGAACAGGCACTGCTGGAACTGAGCCAGGCTGGCATCTCTTCTAAGGGACACTCAACAGTTGCTCATAAGCATCTGCATTTCTTTTGGTCCTTGAAGATGGTAGCGACGCACTAAGTTTGCAAGTGCTGGTCCAGCAGAGCTCAAAAAAGCTACTACAGCATTCAGGTTTTTCAAATACGAAACTGAAATTGCCAATTTAACCACTAAACTCTCATCTATGTAATCCTCTTTGTTAGGAACTTTAAATTGCCAAGCTGTTTGGACAATCCCATTAAAAGTTAAATTTTTTGTTTCTTTAGATTTCACATATGCTGCAACTGGAGTAAAAATTTCACGTGAATGGCGTAAAAAAAAAATGAACATAAACAGGAGCAAACTCTTGTTGGTATAAGTCTTGAAATTATTCTTTAAGTTGCTCTAAATTCTGAAGCAGTAAATGCTAAAAAGTGTTAAAAATGTAAACTCTGAGAAGTAATATTTTCTTACAGGGGGAATTTGAATGTGTATTTCCTCAATAGCAGATCATGCGAGCAGATAAAATCCTGACCCAAATTTTGAACATTACGATTCAGCTCTGCTCATTTATGATCATTACAGCTGAGAAAGCAGTCTAAATTCTACTTCAACTCTTCGAATAATAGAGACAGTGTAAGTGCTCATTTTCAGAGAGCAGACGAAGGAATGTAATTGCTGGTATTATGCCTTATAATTTCTGAAAAGATAGGCACTGCTTATTACCAAAATCCATGGTATGTAGCTATTAGTGTTGAATCGTAGTATTTTTCACAGGTTCCTCCAAAAAAATCCCACAATTTATATGAATTCATGAAGTCTGATTTTTTAGAGCAACTAGTTTCTTTATCTGGCTATACTGCATTTCATTTCTGATACATATCACATTAGTTTATCTAAGGCAGCAAGAATCTCTGTAGGGTCGATCTGATGTTGGATTCATGGCAAAAGATGTTATTCCAAAAAAATCTTATGATAAAGATCCACCGAACAAATCTAAAAACAAACAATATTCTCAGTAAATTGATGCTGTTAGCTTTTTTTTTTTTTAATTAGAAATCTCTATGAATAGTATTTTGGAAATTCCATCATACTCAACCTTTTCTATTTTCCTTTTCCAGTAAAGATGTTTTCTTCTCATAATCACTGACATATTTTTCCAGTTGATCATAAAATAGTAAAGTAGATGTTTTCAGAACTGATAGTAAAAATTAGTCCTCTAAATTCATATTTGTATACTTGAAAAGTCATTTTTTGTCCCAAAACACCCACAATTCCTCTGCATATACTTACTCACCTGGTTTAATAGCATTTAAATAAAAACTACAGAGTGGTATTTGACACTAGTACATCCAGTACATTGACAMTGAACTAATGCACCCAATGCCATTAACCCCAAAAGAAGGAATTTATTCAAATGTAGCTGGTCTGTTTATTCTGCTAGCAACTGAACAATTATTTCATTAAAAACAAAACAAAAACACTGCACTAATTTCATGTCTTTCTTATTTATTGATTCGTTTCTCAAGACAGGACATTTCCCAAGTGCTAACGAGCCAAGAACCATCTCTCCTGGATAGGTTGGAAACTGGCTGGCAAAGTGTATTTAATTTCAAGCATTTAGTAACTAAATCTTAATTTTCCACCTACTTGCTTCAATATGCTAAAAATATAATGAAAGAACAGCATGTCCATGCATACCAATTTTCATTAATAACTCTGTATTAAGCACTAAACTTTTGTACAGTGCTTATATTATCCAGTCATTTAAAGTAATGTCTATAACACTATTTATTTAAAAACCTAATATACTGAATAAGTTTAATATCTTAGAATAGCATCATGAAGAATAGCATGTTACTTTGCTAGTATGTCTCTCTATCACAGGGATATCTGTAGCTCTACAACCTTAAAATGAAAACTAATTGACAAAACTGCTAACAATATGTTCTGAAGATCAGCATCCTTATCATACAAAATTCAGTTGTTTTCATTCTACTTATGAAGAGGCTTGATGGTATCATGGTTTTACCAGGAAAGAAACTGTCTTTACCATAAAATATGATATAAATATTCAGTTACAACAAAGATGACCCATAATTTAAAGGAGATGTGCAGGATGATGTGCTTGGCTCTCAGAAGTACAGCCAGCACTAGAAAGTCGCCAGCTATTTCAAC